TGCTGCTTGGCCTGCTGTGTTCATCCAGCTCTACACCTTGTTATCTCAGATTCTCCAGCATCTGCAGTTCCTACTATCTCTGAATTAATTTTAACTTTGATTGCCTGATGAAATGGAGCAGAAATATCATGAAAATGGTGTCAGTTCACTTACCACCTTATGCACACTCTCACTTTGTCCTCTCGTATCTTAGGTAGGGTCAAGCATGAGGACCAGATTGCTTAGCTGGTTCAGATAGGAGGGTTATTGCCTTATGATATACATAGCGTCCTGATTGCAGTAATCAAAATACTAACAAATGGAGCATGTATCATGTGGAGTCCACCAATTTGTACAAGGCAGTGAGAAACATAATCAATGATCCTCGAAAGGAATTGCCAGGGATCAATCAAGGAATGATGCAAGTGAGTTAAACAGAAAATTTTGGCAACCTCAGGGCGAATTGGAAACTCCAGGCTACTGCTTATATCCAAGGGCCTGGGATTGCCTCACCATTCATAGACTCTGACTGTTGAGTGTCTCAGTGTGGCAGCTGGTCAATTTCTTACCCTCCCAATGTTGGCAATCAGAGGAGCCATTTGTAGTTCCAAACAATGCAAGAGGTCCTGGTCTTAAATTGTCTTGGGCCTCATACCAGTGAGCACAGACCAGAAGCAGTTAAAGTTATCTCTATTATTCCACTATATTTAGTCATTCTATGCAATCAAAACATCTGTGTTTGCACACAATGCAATCTTGCCATATTGCGTAGCATTTCAATGAATAACATTTGACCCAACACCCTCTCCTAAGGTGACGAGCTAGTTGGGAATGAACAGGTCACTGAGGATTTCAAATGCCATTTAAAAGGTAGATGCACATTTTAATGTCCTTTTGCTATTGGAGATTGGAAAAGGACCTCTGAAACACATGGGAGCTTTTCAGAGATAATTTGTCAAAAACTCTATTCACATTATTGAAATGTATTCCTGGGGACTTCACCTAAAACAAATAAGTACTGTGCCACCCTGGGGAATGTTGGTAATTTTTGCTAGGTGTCCCTCTTGACCCTGCTGGATGAACTGGAGGAGGGCATGAGAATACCAGTCTGAGCAGTTCCAGATGCTATAGAAGAGACGGACAGAGGGGGAGGTGGTATTCTCCCTTGTGGGTACAAGTCATGTCTCCCACTCTGGGGCTTCTTCACCTGTACCTGCAGTGCTAGGTCTAACAACTTACGCATCCTCTCACTTGACCTCGGCCTGAAATCCACTGTCAAGTGTCAGCAGTGCATTGCACATCTTTGCTGGAAAAGCTGTGTGGACCTCATATAAACCACTTCATAAAAATTGCCTGTAATCAGTGCTTAAATGTTAAATTTGTGGGTGTCTGTTTTAACACTTCCAGCAAGGTTCACATGATCGTAATCGGCAATTGGCCTCAAGAATATGTGGTAAAAAAAAACACATTTCCAATCTGGCTCATTTTATTCGCACAAAACTGACTCAGCACTTCTTTTCGCCCTTTCACCAAAATAAGCTTATATTTTAACAACTGCAGTTACCTTTTTAATCTTTTCATCGTTAAAGATATTCCAACTATCTCCACATTTGATTTCAGCATAATAGTGACCACTCCCATATCCCCCAATGTGGTGCCATATTGCAAACAACTCATACCTTTCCTCCTAAAATGGAGAGAAATGAAATAGCAAGAGATTATTTCTTTCCTGCTGTAATGTGAAATCTTGTATATAGAACTTCAACTTTTCAGAATTTTGACAAATACAGGTGCACACTGAGGTACTTCCTGTGTTGTGGAGGACAGGACGTTTGCACGCCTGGAATGTATTGCCAATGGAACAAAACACGCATTGTAGGAGGAGTGCAATCATTGTAAGATGGAGTGTCCCAAAATTGTGAAAGGAGGGAATGGTCATATCAGAAAGATACGCCAGCTCTCTAACAAAGGATAACAACTGAGATGTGTCCTTTCAAGAACTGACTGACTTGTTGAGTAGCTCTCGCAGTTCGTGTTTTGATTTTAGGATCTACGGCTTTTCCATTTTGTCCCTTCAAAAAGAACATAATTTCATATTAAATTTATAAACTAAAAAAATAAACTTTTTGTTTTACAAACCTCTTACTTTTACAATCAGCAACATTCTGAGTATGTGTCAAGTACTTTTGAAATGTGATCATTTGGTTGATAACATGTCTTTAGCCATTTTATTATGTTAAAGGCAAGTTGAAATGTAGAGAAGTGTCAATTTGCACATAAAAAGTTTGATCAAACAGGATGAAATAAATTGCCAGCTGTTATGTTTTCTTGCTCCTTTTTGAACAGTGCCACATGACTTTTAATATCTGGCTGATGTGATGCATACATGTAGCCTAGTGGTATTATCGCTGGACTGTTAATCCAGAGACCCAGATAACTTTCTGGGAACCTGGGTTCGAATCCCGCCATGGCAGATGGTGGAATTTGAATTCAATAAATATCTGGAATTAAGAATCTTATGATGATCGTGAATCCATTGTCGATGGTTGGAAAAACCCATCTGGTTCACTAATGTCCTTTAGCGAAGGAAACTGCCAGCCTTACTTGGTCTGGTTTACTTGTGACTCCAGACCTACAGTAATGTGGTTGACTCTTAACTGTCATCTGGGCAATTAGGGATGGGCAATAAACGCTGCCTCGTCAGCGATGCCCTCATCCCATGAATGAATAAAGAAAACAAAAAGTCAATGTCAAAACTGCAGCATATCCCAGCAGCTTATGCAGCAAGCACATTGCTTGTGCTTAAAGCAAATGAGCATGTGTTGAAAGTCAAAGGAAAAGAGTCATTGGTGGGGTGAAGGAGAACTACAGTCAGTCAGCAGGTACTGCCACAGTCGGTCAGCTGTTCATCTGGTAGCACTCCAGGGGTTGGCTGTGGTAAAGCATTTGATTCTATCACAGCCTAGGAATTTGAGTCTTTGCAGTCTGAAGATTGGGTCATAGTCAGTCCTGCAGGTCAAGTGCAGAGATTCAGGGATTACAGGTAGCTCAGTCAAGGTGCTGCGGAGATTTTAGTGAAGAGATTAGGCCCAGGTCAGTTGGAGCTGTCCTTGCGAGATCAGTTCAGGGACACGAGGAAACTGTTGTTCATGGAGGATTTGTCAGTAATGGTCAGGGGGTTTATTGGGGCATTAACCACAGAGATCTTGAGAAAGCAGGAAATACAAGTCTGGAAATAGGCTTCATTGCATTGGGGTGCTGAGGAAATGGTGAAACTGATAGAGAACAATTGCAAATAGGAGGGTGGAACCTCAGTTAATGGAAGCTCAGTTAATGGAAGCTCTGGAAGGAGGAGCTTCAAACAGGTAGTGATAGCTCTAGTCTCTACATGTAGAAGGCATAGGGCCTACCCAAGGCATGGGAAATTCTAAGGTTTAGGTTCTTGGGTAAACTGGGCAATTAATAGCAATGTAAAGGGGTTCTAATGAAACAGCAGGTATGGGGGACATAGAGATTGAAAGGCCCTGGGGTCATAGGGACAGCAAAAGGAAAAGGAACATGAATAATGGATCAAAATACATGTGTTAATGGCAGAGGCTGCAAGTCTTTGACACTAACATGAAGTTGCAATCTTGTCATGTTGAAACAAGTGTCAACTGCACTATAACTTCACAAAATGGCTATCACCCCATGCAGAGTGGGTAGAATAAGCTACCATCATTTTTCTTTAGGGGCAAAGTAAACTTCTTGGTTTTTGGAAAAATGTAGGAATAACACCTCCAGTAGTGAAGTAATGTTACCCATCTGGCTTCAATTCGCAGGACATTTATTGTCCAAGGATAAAGTTTAAACCCTCAAGCAAAAAAGTCCATTGCATTATGCAAAATAATTGTCTCCTTGTCAAGTCTGCTAAACAAATGCCATAATAAGGAAATTAAAAGCAGAACCTGAAATTCCCATTTGACTTCCGTGATGAATGTTATAATGTATTGTCATTATTTTTGGAATTTGGATTTTTGAAATAGAGGAAGATTAATTTTAGTTTCAGTTTTGCAAGTCATTTCTTTTTGAAAGGTGACAACGTCATTTGGCCCGCTGACCTACATGCGTTATTTCCAAGAAAGCACATGATTCAGTAAAGTGCCCAGCAGGCTATTTTGGTGTTAATTGATGGAATGTTGATAACAGACAGAGAACACAGCCTGGAGCCATTAGTTTAGCTTTTGACCTCAGTCCAGAAAAATCAAGTTTTCAGTTCAAAAGAGAGGTTTCACTTGAGAGAAAGGATTTAGTTTGTGAAGTCTCTGGGAAAGTTTGTATGGACTTGATGGGCCAAATGGCCTGTTTCCAAACTGTAGGGATTCTGATTCTTCCTCTCAATCCTCCTCTAGGCTCACCATGCCACCCAGCTTTTGTCATTTTCAAACTTGAAGATATTACATTCAATTACCTCACCTAAATCATCAATAGATTATTGTGAATAGCTGGGATACATAACCGATCCCTGCAGTACCCCAATAGTCATTATGTGCTGCCTGGAAAAAGGCGTTTTTATCTTTACTCTTTGTTTCCTGTCTGTCAACCAGTTCACAATTCATGTCACTGCCCTACCCCAATTCCTTATGCTTTAATTTTAAATGTGAATTTTTTCTAACGGAACCTTGTCAAAAGCCTTCTGAATGTCCAAGTAAACTACCCACACTGGCTTCCCCTTAACAACTCTGCTAGTTACATCCTCGGAAAATTGCAGTAGACTTGTCAAGCCTGATTTCCCCTCCTTAAATCCACGCTGACTCTTTCCCATCCTGTCACTGTTTTCCATGTGGTCACTCTTAAATCTTTTGTAATGGACACCAGCGTTTTTCCTACTACCGATGTCAGGCTAATAGGTCTTTAATTCGCTGTTTTCTCTCTGTTGTAGGGTTACATTATCTACCCTCAAATCCACTGCAACTGTTCCAGCATCTACAGAGTCTTGGAAGATGATCACCGATGCATCCACTATGTCCAGGCCACTTCCTTAAGTACTCCAGGATGCAGACTGTCAGCCTAAGGGATATATTGGCCTTTAATCCCATCAATTTCCCCAACACCATTCCTCTACTAATCCTTCAATTCCTCCCTCCTGCTAGACCCCATGTTTCCCAACAGTTTTGGGACATTATTTGTGTCCTCCTTTATTATTATTTGTGTCCCCCTTTATTAAGGCAGCAAAAAAATACGTATTTAGTTGGTCGGCCATCTCTTTGTTCCCCATTATAATTTCCCTTGTTTCCAACTGTAAGGGTCAACAATCTAAATAAAGGATACTATGATGGAGTGAGGTACAAGCTTACTTAAAGAGATCACAATGGATAAGCAGTGGAAAATATTTTTAAAGAGCAAATGGTTGAACACAACCACAGTCCATAGCATGTTTCAGAAGACATTTCACACCACTGCTGTAATGTGGAAGAGAGTCTTTTCTTTGATAGGTAAGGGCTATCACAGTGGCTCAGGATAGCTGTACTAAATGATTTGATGCCAGAAATATAGATGATGTTGATGTCAGAAATGATTATGACTCGATGTCAGAAATGCCTGCACACAGAAATATACACATTTGAGAAACAATGGACCAGAACCATGCTATGGAAAAGGAAATGGCATTTGATGAACACTGTAATGTGATGAAGGTGGAACACATCCTCAATAACCTTATGATGATAGGGATGGAGAAATTCAAAAACAGCATCCCTTTGAGCTTAAAATTTCAACTAGAGGTCCATAAAGTCTCTGAAATAAAGGAAATAATGGCAGATCATTATGTATTAACTCATAACTTGATTAGTAACAGGTCTCATTTTGGAACCTTCTGGAGAAACTGGAACTGGAGAGGAAGGGCAGGGCTGAGAAGAAATCGGACTGTGCTGAGAAAGGGGATAAAGCCCAGGCCTTTCTCAGGTTAGATGAAATGATGATTTGGAGGGCAGATTCAGGGGAGAAGATGTTACTTTTGACACAAGGAGCAGCATATGAAGGTTGAATGCTTAAAGGTGAAAATCAAGCCTGTCATATTTGTGCCTGTCATATAGGTGTTTGTCCAGATGTTAATGACCTCACTGGTAACATTCATGATAAGCAGAGAAGCTCACCTACATTCACTGAGAGGATGTCACCAATATAAGGATTAGTTATTATCATAATTACCATGTAATCAGTGTGACTACAGAAAACAATTGTGCAAAAGAAAAATGTTTTATTTCATCAAATACATTTTTGATCCTAATTTACTATATATACTGCAATAGGTACAGCATTGGAAATTAAATATTCAATATCAAACATTCCATTAAAGATACTGGGGAGTTGGTGGGATTTGGCCAGGGAGGGGTGGGGCGGGGGGGGAATAGAGTTTGAACTTTTAGCAATAGTCTAAAATGGGTGACATAACAGTTGTACACTCGGTTTTACTTTCTTACCCATTCATTTCTTACGTTGGTGGTTGTTGATGTGAAACACCATTCATTGTCATTATCCTGTACAAAAATTGAATTAAAAGCCATAGTAAATATAAAATGAATTATATTTGTTATATAGCATGACATTTTGAGATCAATTTGGTTCAGGCTATGCAATACACATGAAGTAATAAATGTTGCAAATTCGTTGCATATGCAAACATTTGTCCAATAGCTTGGACAATGAAACTCTGCTGAATTTATAAATAAGCCATCAAATGCTGTGAAACACGTAGAACCATTTAGAAAACTTCGAGTAGCAGTTTCATATACCACCTCACCGTAATAATCTTTCACCTCCTCGCTTATAAAGGATGTATCTACCTCTATCTTAAAAATATCCAAAGACTCTGCTTCCACCGACTTTAGGAAGAGAATTCCAAAGGCTAACAAGCCTCAAAAAAAATTCTCCCCACTTCTGTTTTAAATTTGTGATTCCTTATTTTTCATCAGTGACTGCTATTTTTCCCACATAAGCAAGCATCTAACTTGTCAGAGCCTCTCAGGATCATATGCTTCAATCAAATTATCTCTCACTCTTTGAAACTCTAGCAGCTGCAAACATAGCCTATCTGACCTCTCCTCATAAGACAACTCATCCATTTTAGGTACTAATCTAGCAAACCTTCTTTGAACTGTTTACAAAGCATTTGCTTTCTTCTTTAAATAAGGACACCAATACTGTGCACAACATTCCTGATGAGTCTTACCAAAGACCTGTCTAATTGAACCATCAATCCAATACTTTTGTACTTAATTACCCTCACAATACATGATAACATTTGATTAGATTTCCAAATTTCTTCCTGTCCCTGCATACTAACCTTTTGTGACTCCTGTCCCAGACACTCAGATCCTTCTGCATCTCACAGCTCTGCAATCTTTCATTATTTAGGCAATATGCTTTTTGATTTTTTTCCTTCCAAAATAGACACCTTTTCATTTTCCTACAAGATACTTCATTTGCCTGATTTTTGCCCACTGATGTACCATGTACATATCCCCTTGTAGCCTACTTATATCCTCATCACAACTTAATTTGCTAGCCATCTTTGAGTCAACAGCAAATTTAACTTCCATACTTCAGTCCCTTCATCCAAGTCAATTATAAATGATTAAAACAATTGAGGCCCCAGCACTGATACCCAAAGCACACCACTCATTATATCTTGCCAACAAGAAATAAACCAACTATACCTAGAGATTATGATATACAAGGTATCAGATTTGTGTGGGACTGGTTGTATAGGCATCTTTACTTGTGTGTTATTTTGCCCTCTGATAACTGTCGGAAACAACCTCATCGTCAAACTTGATGCTGATTTGACATTTCAAGCGTACATCCACATCATCACAATGATCGCCTGTTTCTACATCTGTAACAGTGTCCAAGTCTGGCCAATCTCAGTTTATCAAGCAAGATTTCAATTCTAACACTCCAAAGCACCAGGGCTCCTTTAATTTTGACCTCTTGAACATCCTCATTTTTCAATCACTCCATCATTGATGGCCATGTCTTCAAATGCCTGGGCGCTAAGTTTTTGAATTTCCATCCTAAATTTCATCACCTTTACATTCCTTAATTATGGAACCTCCCCAGTCCTCTGGAATAGAGAATTCTAAAGATTCAGCATTTGAGAGAAGTTCCTCATCTTAGTTCTAAATGATCAACAATTTACACTGCAAATGTACCCCCATGCTCTAGATTCTCAAGCCAGTGTCTACCCTATCATGTCCCTACAAAATTTTCCAATTTATCAATGCAGTCACCTCTAATTCTTCCAAACTACAGACAACATCGGATCAATTTACTCAACTTTTTGTCATAAGTCAAGCCCCTCTGTCCAGGAAACCAAGATAGTGAATCTTAGCTGTACTGCTCCCTCTGAGAGTATATCCTTCCTTAAATAAGGAAACTTAAATAGTGCATAGTACTATAAATGAACACAATTACACATGGCTTTGGTGAGATCATGCCTGTATCACCTTATATTAAAGAAAAATATGACATTTACCTTTCTATTTGCCTGCAGTACATGCATTCTGACTTTACGTTCCTTCCTTGTTGGAGCACAAAGTTTGCACAAAGTGACAATCGGCATTAATGATTGCATTGCTCATATCAATATCTCTACCAATCAGAGTCCACTTTCCAACCAATTACTACTCTAATCTCATTCAGGAAAAATGTTGGTTTCCCCTGCAAATTTATATTCTTGCAAATTGTTCTGAGCGCAAGATGAAAAGCTGTGATTAAAAAGTGTCCTTTTCAGCAATCCTCTAGTAACCAAACATGGAAACAAAACCCGTCGCTATAAATTAATGCTGTAAGTGAAGGGATGTAGGAAAATTAAATGGATGCGTTGAAATTTGGCAATAGGCCAATTGCTGTTGGTCATTGTTAGAAACCACTATATAATGACACTTTCAAACTTCTGCTCCTGATTTAATCCCAAGTATAATAAAAGTAGGTAACGACATAGATGATATTTTGGAATTTATTACAAAATAATCTCCAGCAAAACAGATACTACAAACTACTCTCCATTAAAATATTAGCATTAAATGTATTGGCAAGTACCCTTACCAGAGATTTGTTAAATTGCAAAGTCCACGGAATAGAAATCTGAAGATGAATTTTCTGGTAATACATCCCGTTGCTGACAACTCCAAATCGTTTTATTTGAAATGTGAGAAGTTGAGGCAACTGTTTAAAATAGTATCGCTGCAAAATATAAGATTAATTTACTTTAAAAAAATCTTAAAAGGGAGACTTATGAAAATTTAAGATAATGTCTTTTTTTCACTGTCATCCTTAATTAAGCCAAGATGTGAAAAGTAATCATTGTCCAGGGAGACTCGAATACCATGTAAGATATGAAAAGTAATCATTGTCCAGGGAGACTTGAATACCATGTAAGATGCATCTCAGGACTCCTTAGTAGTCCCTCAAATTCACCCCATTGTCTGGGATGGTCAATTCTCAGTGCAGGAACTCTTTGAAAAAGCCTCCATCTCTGAGTTACAGATGGATACTTTGGAGGATTCCGATTTACCTACCTTGGTAATTACTCAGAAATGTTAAACAGATTAAAACCAGTTCTAACCCCTGGGTACATCTACAAATGAGTACCTGGCCTCTCAACTCTCCAACTGATTTCCCTCTGACGCCCACCTACTATCATCACTCCGGACCCACCAATTATCCCATAACCATCCCACTGACCCAATCCAAACCCGTACTTGCTACTGATTCAACCTTACCACTCTCACTGCCTTGAATACATCAACCCCTACCTAAGATCTGACCTGACCAGCCCTGAGACATGACAAATGCCCATGTGACCTGACTTGTCCATATCCATGCCAACACAACCTGATTACTCACTAACCCAACTTGATTATCTCCAAAGTCCAGTTCAAATACCCCTGAGATCCCAAAGTCTATGCACTCAACCTCTACATTCCATTTGTCATCATGCCACTTTGTCAACAGCCAACTGCTTGTGAAATTATATTAACTGTCATTGGTGACAGAGGAAAACTTACTGTTTCTGTTTTAGTCTTTTTGTCACAGGTGTTGCAGTAAGGTGCATTGTCATTATCCAAGGTAACAACCTTCAGAAACTCTTGGAGAGCGACTTCCTTTAGAGAGAAAATAACAGGTTAAAATTTTTTAAAAGTCTCACATGGCATTTAAGGCAATGCGCTAACTAGTATGTTGCCATTTACAATGGTTTCAACGCTGAATGCAATATGACACTGTAAATCATTGCCCACGTGGAGTTGTACCCATGATGTCACTCCAGCTCCTATTATCTGCCCTGTAAGCTTTTAACTTATCAGTCTCTTAAAAGTGCAAAATTAAATATTAAGAGATGTATGAATGAGGTAGTAGCTAATAATATGATGATCTGACACCATGACACAGTGAAAATGACGTTAGCTCCCAGAACATTAGGTTGAGACATGGGTCACATACTATTGAAGAAGTTAATGAACTTTTACTGCAGGGACTGGTACCTTCACATGTATATTACAATTATAGGCACATGCATGTCTGGAGTCAAGCTACATAATTTAGATAAACTGCAACCGGCTTCCCTCAGTGTGTCATCCTACAAGTGAACTGAGCTCAGTGTGGTGGAGACTGAGAGTTTTATACCATTAGGTCAAATGCCGGATGATATGATGATATCAGGGGCGTGTCCCTTAAAGATATATTACATATCTGCTGTGAGATATAAGACAATATCCCCCTTCTTTCAATAACGGAAAGAAATTGCAAACAGATATATCTCATTTAACATAGGCACATGCTGTCAATTCAACATGCATACATGCTAAAACAGAGCGATGGTGGGAAACTCCGAAGGAAATCAAGATTTATTTTGACACTTCTGGCTTAAAGGAAAATGCTTCAACCTTATAATTTGCACTGCTACCCTGGGATATCTGCCAATGAGAATGGATGTATCCTCTTTTGTTTTCCAGCACCATTCCATTGGAGATCAGAGGAAATGAGAAACCAAGAAAATCAAAAGATGAAAGACTAACTTCATTCAATTTAGCTTAACATTTTCTTTCTCCAAGAGTGTGAATTACCTTTTGTTAATATGGTGAAGCTACGGATATCGCAAATGTCAGTTATATTAAACTCCGCAAAAACAATACATGATATTAAACTCAATTTTTAATTCAAATAAATAAACTTACTAGACTTTTTATTTCTGAAGAGTCAGCTGTATAAATGGATAATGGCAGGTCCAGAAAAAAACAATCATCCATAACAGGTTGTGTACATGTTGAACACTTCATAGATTGAACCATTACGATCTGATAAAGCTGTAAGATAAAAGCCAATGAACACAGAGTCCACAATCTGCCATTCAGGATTTAATTATAATATCAAAAAAAAACTAATGTTTCAAATCTCATATTAAAAAAATCCTTGTGCTTCATTGATTTGTTTGACAAAACTGTCAGTCTTTCTTTTTAAAACAGTACAACATATTTTGAAGAGGTTGGGCAATGAAAGAGCATAAATTACTTGGGGATAAAATCCCTTGGTCCTTCTGGTGCTCTCCCTCTCAGTAGCCTTATGAAGACTGCAGCAGACGGGTTAAAAATCCTTGGCACTACTGGCACTTTCAGCATTTCCTGCAACGGTGGAGCCTCTGCTTACTCTTAAAAGTGCAATGAATTGGAAGGTTCTGGGATGCTAATTCCTTAGTCTTCATAATATCAAGAAACATGGCTAGTGCAGCGAAATCATCCACACAGAACCTTCATGCGTCTTAGAGACTGGTTTGCGAAGTGAATAATGGTATACTAACTCTTTCCTGATGAACATCTGGCCTGCCTGGATTTGTAGGAATGGAACATTATTTAGACCGGTGAAGCTTTAAAAATTTATGAGAAGGGTATGATGTTCTCATTAAGGGGGCTGATGAATAAATGGGCTGTCCCCCAAGAGTAAGGGCAATCAATTGACCACCCTAGTTTCTGCCAGATCTAGCACTTGTCACTGGACTTCTCAAACTATGGGGCAAGCAGATAGTCAAGATGTGCCACCGATGGCATGGGTACTAGTGACAGTCACTCAAGTGAGGAGACCAGCCACTGACACATGTGCTCTTTTCTCTAGCAAAAGTAGTCCTAGCAAAATTATCATTAGGATATCTTTATTAACACAGATTTTCTACTCACTTACATTCACAGTAAAAAGATAAAGATAATGAGGAGAACAGTAATTTAAATTTGTTAGTGATATACCGAGAGAGAGGCAGAGTGAAATAGAATAGGTGAATACCAATAAACAAACAGACAAAAGGATGCACATGATGAGAAAGGTAAAATGAGGAAGAAGAGTTGAAGACAATTAGGAGGATATACGTAGAAAAAGAACAGAAAATTGGGAAGGTGGCAACATAAATAAAAACAAATTCAAAAATAGTGCATAAATATCATAGATGAATTTTACCTCCAGAATGTTATGGCCTTGGTCTACTTCAGCATTCAGTTTGTTAATCAGATTGCGAAAATATTCTTCAATATCAAGCTGTTCAAAGACTTAAAAGGAAGAATGTTCAGAAATTATGTTTAATTGAAAATACAAGCATTAACAATACATGAAATATGTTGACTGAGAATTCCTGATATGTTAGCATCAGTGAAAGGTAATAAGTATAAACTTCATCCAAAATAGAATTTTGCTGTTAATCCTTCAATGGAGTATGCACTAAACTGTTAAACTAGATAATGGTTTGGAACTAGAGTAGGCTTGAACCAATAAACTTGCATTTAGAGTTGATTATATTCCCATTAAAATTAACCAGCAAACAAATTGCACACAATCTCTTCATTTAAATCACCAATGAAGATTTTAAATATTTGAGACCCCAACACTAATCCTTGCCATGTGACTACCAATTTGAAAATGATCTGTTTGTTGTGAATGTTTTCTTTACTTTAATTATCCCCCTATCCACTTTGTTATGTCCAAGCTGATGGTAATACTGGGCAAGTCAGATGCCAGAATGAAACCTGGCTTGATGGAATTTTTTTTCAGTTGGTTAACATGACAGTTAGTATTGAAACATATTCACAAAGGCTACAGATGTTCTTTAACAACAGAATGTAAATTTATTAAATGAAAGAAGCAAGCAAATCTAGAAGACAGTTATGATCTTAACATAAACACCAAAGCAAAGGTTTAATCTATTCCGTATATAATCTTTTTACTGAATCTTACTACCAGAGAATTATCACTCCCATCTCAACTCTTTGATGTATTACTTAATTGAATCTTCCCAGTTCCTTTCCTTGGACTACTGATAGGATTCCAATTTCTTTCAGAGTCTGTTAGCTTGAACGTTTTTTTCAATTCTGATGGCCTAAACCTATTTTCAGTTTGGATAGCTGTAATACTTCTACACACCCTCACAACATTGATGCTCACAGACTGAAACCTTTTCTGCCAATGTGACCGATTCCCCTGACTGAAACCTTGAACTTTCTGCTCTGAAATCAAAGCTAATGTCCTCTGATCTTCCCTGAATTCAACAGTATAAGTATTTCATTTATTAATAACTGAATCCCTGGTCAAGCACTTCACTAAAGTTACGTGTTTTCTTGGAAATGACCAGTTATGCCACTGATCCAAATAACTTGACTTAAAAAAAATTATTTCTGAAGAACTGACAAATAACCATCTGCCTCTGTTTTAAAATCCAAAATAATCATACATATTATACAGATTTTATCACAAGTATTAAAATATTACTCCCAACCCAATGAACCTTTATCTTGTGTAACAATTTTTCATGTGGTTCCTTAACTGATATCTTTTGAAAATCTAAGTATTCAACTTCTTAATGCAACTTGCAACTACTATCCTCAATTATAATAAACCAAAATGAAGTCTGATTTTGTAAAACTGTTTTGACTCTACAAATTGCTTCACAATTTTTAAGTTGTCGTTATCACTTCCTTAAAACTGGATGCAAGCATATCAGCTCATGATCAGTACTTTCTTGCCAGGTCTCTCCCTCCTTTCTTTTAACACTCTATTCCTTTCTCTCTCATGTTCTCGTCTATTATATTCAATTCACTTCAACCACACCATATGGTAGTGACATGTACATTCAACTATCATTTGGATAAAGAGGTTTCTTCTGAATTCCCTATAGGAACTCTTGGTGGCCATCTTATCTGATGAAACGCTGTTATGCTCTTCCCCAGAAGACATATCATTTTCTAAAGCCACTGTATCATTACCTTTTATAATTTTAAACTCCTCTTGTAAGTCATTCCTCAGCACCTTTTCTCCCAAAGGAGAAGACACACAACCAGCTAATGATTTCCTGATATATAATTCTGATGCTTTTAAGTATCATCTGAGATGAAAATAAATTGCTTCAGTCAAAGGGTTCTGAATATTTGAAATTCTCTTCCCAAGGAGGTTGGGTATGCTTCATTATTGAATATATTTAAGGCAGGGATTGACAAGTTCTTGGCCTCTCAGAGAATCAAGAGATATGGGGATTGGGCAGAAAAGCGGAGTTGAGGTCAAAGGTCAGCCATGACAGTTTTGAATGGAACAGCGCGTTTAATTTGCTTGCATTTGTGGTCTTTTAACCAAGAACTTGATCTAGTGTAAGTTATTGATAAGTGTAATACTTAATAAAAATACTGCAATGTGAACTGTAAACAAAAAGCAGCTCCATCTTCCCCCTTTGAGCCAAATTCCATCTTTGTGCCAAGTTCCCACTTTTTAAACTTGGGTTTACAGGCACCCTGCACAGATTACTCTGTGTCAGCAGAACACGTTCACGACCCACCCCCACTCACACTTCTTGATCCTTTCCCTCTACCCATTTTTCCTTCTTCTGTTCCTTCTCTGACGGTTCAATTGCACTCAGTTTATTCTACTTTCCATTTTCTTTTGATTGCAAGAAAGGCACTCTAAAGCCTTTAAACAGACTCTCGCCATTTCCTGACATTTGCTTGTCTTGTTTGTTCCTGACCATCCCTATGGTAAAATACATTGTATGGAAGCTCTTACAAAACCATTATTTTCCTTATGTTGGTTGACGCTAGAATTTCAGGAAATGGTGGATATTCAGATGTTCACCTTTGACAACTAAAAGAAAGACAAGATTTTGGAAAACACAAGACATTGTGGCAACCTCAGAGTGTAGCCTCAACATACTGAGGGCAGCTATTATTGGACTGAATTACCATAGTTCACGAAAGTGCGATGTCCTCACTATCTCTTTAATGGCATACCGCACGGATTCACAGCTTGGCCTTTGCAATTTTTAAACAACGAGAAATGTCTTTGGAAACCTAAACATTTTTTTTCTCTAATGAGTCTCTATTACTGACTTAAGGAACCACCTCAATCACAGAAAATTAACAAATTGACCAGGCAGCAGAATACTGAGACGAGGAGAAACAGTTTTTGATGGATGGATAAGTAGATTTATATATTTGGAAGTTGAATGAATGGTTTTGTCGAATGCTTACCATTCAGTTGCAAGCTCATGGTCAACTCATTCGTCCTTAAGCACTTTTCTTCTTTGCTTTCCATTTTATTGAACAGCTTTTGTAATTCACGTACAAATGCCACATTTGAATTTGACCTGAAACAAATGGCATTTTACATTTAGGAAAATTGATTCCTTTAGCAACTAAAGAATTGAATAATTTTGAACTTCCTAATAGAGAAAGTCATAATCCTTTAAAGTCTATGAATGGTATTCAATCACGTTTCAAATAGAAATAATTACTTGGACACACAAATAAAGGAAGTAAAATTGCTTTGTTGATTACTTCAGTGGCAAAGTCATACAAGTAGGAAATCAGAAATCCTTTCTTGGATTCCAACTGTTTTTTTGAGGAATTTTACCTCTAAACATATTTGTTACAATAAGCAGGCTAACACTTCATGCCATTTGATAGGAAGTCACAAAAGTTTTGGTCATGTAGTATGCTTCCACTCGTAGATATCTTTGGAGTTAACTGGTGTGCTTGTATATAAACAGGAATGTCATATATTTTAACAGAAACAATACTCCAGCTAGTGTTTTGTCCAATATTCCATTTTATATTGTTGATTATTCTGTGCATTTTATGGATATTTCTTTGAATTTTGAAGTTTGAAAATAATTAATTTGTAAGTTCTATTAAGAAAAACATAATTTATGTAATATTAGCACTTTTGAAAGTGATCAAGTGCTGCAGGCAATATTCTCTCACTCCATTTTTAACACTCGATAACAAAGAGTGGTGAGGTGTGGTAATGGGACAAATTAGATATATAGTATGATTTCACTACTTAATTCAAAAATGTTCTTTAAATTCAGAGCAACATTACACCTAAACATTTTTTTAATTTCCTATTTTAGGGCATTTCGAATTTGATTAGTAATCAGTATGAAATGATAAGCCGTTTGAGGCTATAAACTTGTTGTCATCATATTTCTCCTCTGCCATTTCACTTCTCCAACTCACTTCTCCACTTACCCCCTGACTACTGAAAAGGCACAATGGTTCCAAAATGCACTGACCTCCTTTAGATCTCAGTTACTCATGATTCACCTCACACTGTGAATTTTTGCCTCACATCCTGTATCTTACAATTACTTTTCAATTTCCAAACAGAAGTTGACCAAGCTTCTCAGTTGTAAATTTTTCCAATACTGAATCTTTACACTTGCAGAATGAGCACTCCTAATACCTACCTGTAAATGATATCTTTAACTTCCGGGATCATGAACCATGTTTGTAGTAATGTGTTCAGAAAGCATGTGGCTCCCTGATTGACTAATCCCACAGAAACTGCATGAATACATGAACATTAAAGGGAAATGTTGATTAGAAACACAACAGTAACTATTCTGCTTAGACATTCTTGACAACAACCTGCATTTATAAGGTGCTTCTCACATATAACGAGACATATCAACATGTTTTCTGAAACTGAATAAATACAACAGGCACAATACTGTTAAAAATTAGAAATAGTTAGAAATTAAAAATAGTGTTTGAATACACATTTGCACATGCATAAAATTAGTTTGAAATATAATAAATGAATGGATTAGTCTTTAAAATTCATTTTTGTTAGCAATTTCCTAAGATTTCACCATCATGCAAACGAGTCCAGAGAATTCACTATTCTTAGATAAGGTTGGTGAGTTTGAACAAAAAGTTGGAACAGATAACTAGGGACTTGAAGCTATACTAAGAAGCACAATCAGTATGGGACTGAATCAGTGAGATGAAGGTGGATTGAGTTACTGGACATGATTGGAAATTAGGTTCAAAGTGGAAACTCAGTGCAAAGGAAGATACTGTTGCTTTAACTGAAATTTCCTGCAAGAAGTAAACTCTCCAGAGTGAGTAATAAATCAGAAGATAAAAGCCATTGATTGAGAGTCTGCCCCACAGTGAGACCAATGGTGGAGTGATGTCATAAACCACAGTGTCCTGAGTGCAGGAATGAAGCTGACTGGAGAGTAGGATTAATGAATATTTCCAGCCTTTAAAGCATAATTGAGGCCTTCAGTTTGTGTTTGGGTTCCAGTATTTTCTTTTCTTAAAAATAACTGCTTAAGTATTAGATTGATACTGCCGATTTTTTTTCCATTTTCGTTTATGAAACAATGTCAATTCAGTGAGGTGTAAAGAGCAAAGAATGGTGAGTAATTAATTTGTAACTGAAAATTTGTAACAAATATGTCAGTGGTGTCAGGATGGGTGATGTGTTTCTGTTGCAATAAGTGGAAACTGCTGGACACCATGTGATTGGAAGTGCTTGCAGCTCGAGGAAGTGTGGATCCAAGTTCGGAAGCTGAGGTCTGATCTGCACACATTGCACCACTTAAGGGAACAAAAATTACCTGGACCCTTAGGTCCAGAGGGCGGTCACAACCCTCAGTTGAGATCATTCAGAACTGGTCTGTGATCAGGACCAGGAGGGTGTGACTGCACATGAGGCAGGTATGAGGACCCAGGGGTTAAAATTAAGAAATCTTGGCCCCTGCAACAGTTCAACGATACAAAGTTCTTGCAAACTGTACAGACAAGAGTGGGAAGGCAGAAAAGTTGAGCAAACTGACTAAGACACCTTGGTACAGGGAGTCATTCAACTGTGGGAAGGAAACGGGAATGTAGTAGTGGTAATTAATTAGTGGGACAGATATTGTTCTCTGCAGCAGTGAATAGGAGTCCTGAAGGCTGTGCTACCTGTCCAGTGCCAGGAGTAAGGACAACTCCCCAAGCTGGAAAAGAACTTGGAGTGGGAAGGCTCAGATCCATCTTGTTACCAATGTCACTGGTGGGACTAGAAAGGAGGTTTTGCTGAAAGTTTTTGAGCAATGAGGAGCTAAATTGAAAAGCGGAACCTCCTCAGTAATAATATTTGGATTACTACATGAACCACAGGCAAACTGGCCTATGCTGATAAAGTCAATGAGTTAAAAGTATGGTTGAAATATTGGTGTGAGTGGAATGGGTTTCAGTTCATTGGACATTGGCAACAGAACCATGCTGAGACGCTGCTTAGGCTGTACAGAAGGTTTTTAACTAATTGTGGGCGGGGGGGGGGCTGTTGCTGGGAGACGGAAATATAGGCTCACAACATAAGAAGTTATGCCAGTAATACAGGATAGCTAGTTGGATAATGATACCCAAGGGAAAGCAAGTGGCAAAGATAGCACAAAGAACCTGCAGAGGGATATAGACAGGTTAAGCGAGTGGGCAAAATCTTGGCAGATGGAATATAATGTGATAATGTGAGGGTAGGCACTTTAGCAGGAAAAATAGAGGAGCTGAAGATTATTTAAATGGAGAAAGACCACCGAAAAGAAGGATTTGGGAGTCCTCGTCCGTGAATCACAAAAATCTCACATTCAAGTTCAGTGCGTAATAGGGATGGCAACTGGAATCTTGATCTTTATTTCAAAATGAATGGAGTCTAAAAGTCAGGAAGTTTTGCTAGAACTATACACGATATTAGTCAGATCGCAGTTGAATAGCGTGAATGGTTTTAATCTTTTTATTGGAGGAAAGATATATTGGCATTGGAGGGCAGTGAATCAACATTTCCTTGCCTGCAGATTGCTGTTTATGTTAGGTCATTAAATATATTCAAGACTGAGACAGACTGACTTTTAATCAGTAAGGGAATTAAGGGCTATGGGGATGCAAAAAGCAACATGCATCCTGCTGAATGGATGGGATAAAAAGACCAACAAAGAATACAAAGCAGCTCATAACAACTACTAAAAGGGATTATGAAAGAAACTTGCAGGGGACATCAAGATCAGTAAGAAAAAACATTTATAGTTACACAAGGGGAAAACGGGTGGTCAGGAACAATGTTGGCCTACTGAATACTGCAAGTGGAAACACTGTCAATCACTATGGGGAAATGACAGACGTGTCGAATAATTACTTTGCCTCAGTATTTACTGTAGAAAAGGAAGATAGCTTGCTAGAAATCCTGAGGAAATTAAAAGTGGATCAGGCCAGGGACTAACTAAAATTAAAGTAAGTAAAACATAGATAATGGGGAAAATAAATTGAATTAAAGAGTGACAAATCCCTGGTATCTCTCGGTTTCCATCCAAGAGTGTTAAAGGAAGTAGTGGACATTGTAGATGCCCGAACTATAACCTTTTAGAGTCCCCTAGATTCAGGAGTTGTCCCTCTGGATTGGAAAATTGCACATCACTCCACGTGTTAAGAAAAGTAAAAGAGGAAAACCGCATATTACAGACCGGTTAGCCTAATATGGTGGGAAAATTGTTGGAGTCTATATGCCTCGGGTGCATAATTTAAAAATTAGTACTACTCCATTGAGAAGAAATGTTAAGAGGCATTTCTACATGCAAAGGTTGCTAAATGTTTGGAACTGTCTTCCACAAAGAGCAGTTGAACCATACCATAGAACCCCTACAGTGTGGAAACAGGCCCTTTGGCCCACCAAGTCACACCAACACTCAGAGCATCCCACACAGACCCAACTCCCTATAACCCACACATCCCTGAATGCTGTGGGCAATTTAGCATGGCCAATCCACCTAACCTGCACATCTTTGGACTGTGGGAGGAAACCAGAGCAACCGGAGGAAACCCATGCAGACACGGGGGGAATGTGCAAATTCCACACAGACAGTCGCCCGAGGCTAGAATCGAACCCTGGTCCCTGGTGCTGTAAGGCACCACTGAACCACCTTGCTGCCCCTGATACCAGATTAGTTACTAATTTAAATCTAAGATGGATTCTTTTTGTTAAATGAAAGTATTAAGGGATACGGGCCAAAAGTGGGTATACGGAGTTAGGCCACAGATCAACCATGATCTCATTGAATGGTGAACAGACTTGAATGGCCTCCTCCTGTTCCTAAGCTCCTATAAAAGAGAAATGGCAGGTGATTGACGTGAAATGGCAGAATGATCATTCCAAACTCTGGTCAAATAACTTGATGTCCCATAGGGTACTTCGAAATAAAGTTAATCCTTATCAGCCTAAAAGGCCTTGACAATAATCCAGCCAATCAAATTAAATTTAAATCATTGATGAATTATCAGCTTTAAGAGAAATTTGTGTGATCTGATTAGCCAGTACAGAAATGTGGCTGCCAGGTGACTAAGGTTGAACCTGAGCATTCAAGGATACTTGTCATTCCAGGAGGAGGACAAGTTAGGAAGAGGTGGTGAGGAGCTCTGTTCAGTAAGGATGACATTAGGACAGAGAAGTGACATAACCATAGGTCTAAAGATCAAATTATGGAACTGCCGATGCTGGAGTCTGAGATAACAAGGTGTAGAGCTGGACGAAACAGCATCAGAGGAGCAGGAAAGCTGACGTTTCCGGTCTGGACCCTTCTTCAGAAATGGGGGAGGGGAAAGGGACTCTGAAATAAATAGAGAGAGGGGGAGGTGGTGATAGAAGGTGGATAGAGGAGCAGGTAGGTGGAAAGAAGACGGACAGGTCAAGGAGGTGGGGATGAAGCTAGTAAAGGTGAGTGTAGGTAGGGAGTTGGGATGGGGGTTGGTCAGCGAGGAGGAAGGGGCGGGTAGGTGGGAGGGAAGATGGACAGGTCAAGGAGGTGGGGATGAAGCTAGTAGAGGTGAGTGGAGGTAGGAAGTGGGGATGGGGGTTGGTCAGTGAGGTGGGAGGAGCGGATAGGTGGGAGAGAAGATGGACAGGTCAAGGAGGCGGGGGCGAGAGGGGGCGCTGGTATTGAGATGAGGTCGGGGATGAGGAGATTTTGAAGCTCGTAAAGTCCACATTGAGACCATTGGTTTGTAGGGTTCCAAGGCAGAATATGAGGTGCTGTACCTCCAGTTTTGGGTGGCATCATTGTGATACTGGAGGAGGCCCAAGATGGACATATCATCCAGGGAGTGGGAGTGGGAGGTGAAGTGGTTCACGACTGGGAGGTGTTGTTGTTTGTCACAAACCGAGTGTAAGTGTTCCACAAAGCGGTCTCCGAGCCTCCGCTTGGTCTCCCCGATGTACAGGAGGCTACATTGGGAACAGCGGACACAATAGACCACATTAGCGGATGTGCAGGTGAGCATCTGTTTAATGTGGAAGGTTTTTTTAGGGCCTGGGATGGAGGTGAGGGGGGAGGTGTAGGGGCAGGTGTAGCACCTCCTGTGGTTGCAGGGAAAGGTGGCGGGGGTGGTGGGGCTAGTGGGGATTATGGAGCGAACAAAGGAGTCATGGAGAGAGTGGTCCCTCCAGAAGGGCAGATAAGGGTGGAGAGGGAAATATATCTTTCGCAGTGGGGTCAGATTGCAGGTGGCGGAAGTGGTGAATGATGCGATGAATTCAGAGGTTAATGGGGTGATACGTGAGGACAAGGAGAATTCTGTCTTTGTTTTTATTGCGGGGAGGGGGTGTGAGGGCTGAGGTGTGGGAAACGCAAGAGATGCAGTCGAAGGCGTTTTCGACCACTGTGGGGGGAAATTGCGGTCCTTGAAAAACGAGGACATCTGGGATGTCCGGGATTGGAACGTCTCATCTTGGGAGCAGATGTGGCGGAGGCGAAGAAATTGGGAATAAGGGATTGCATCCTTGCAGGAAGGTGGGTGAGAAGAGGTGTAGTCTATGTAGCTGCGGGAGTTGGTGGGCTTGAAATAAATATCAGTTTCCAGGTGGTTACCAGAGATGGAGACAGCGAGGTCCAGGAAGGAGAGAGAGGTATCAGAGATGGTCCAGGTGAACTTAAGGTTGGGGTGGAAGGTGTTAGTAAAGTGGATGAACGGTTCGAGCTCCTCATGGGAGCACGAGGCAGGTGGAGGTAAAAAACAATCCAGCAAAGTTAGGGAATTACTTGTGGGTGTAGTTTATAGCGCCTACACAGTAACTATACTGAAGGATGAGGTATACAGGGGAAAAAAGTAGCAGGAGGTTGTGAGAGAGGTATAGTGATAATCATGGCTGTTTTTAGTCTACATATAAATTGAACAAATCAGATTGGCACAAGTAGATTGGCAGATGCTAAGGAAAGTGTTATCCTTTTTCTCTGCAGTCAAAGCCACCTCAAGCCTGAAGAAAGCCAATTTGCTTTCCTCCATCAGTTGCCGTAAGCTGTGGCTCTTGAACAACACCGCGATATGTTATAAAATAAATCAAAGAACTACGATGCTTGCTATCTGAAACAAAAACAGAAATTGCTGGAGAAACTTTGCAGGTCTGGCAGCATCTGTGGAGAGAAAGCAGAGTTAACATTTCAGATCCAGTAACCCTTCTTCAGAACTGAGACGTTATAAAAGTGGGCACATCGCCCCGTGCTTCCTGCAAGTAAGGGGAAGTACCTGGAAAAGGAAGACTAAGGAGCAGCAGAACCTGACTGGAAAAGGATTACCTCAACAAACCCTGTGTACAAGGATCATTGAACTGCCTACCCAGTCTTTCTGTCTGTGTGTGAGGAAATTCGATGAGTGAGTAGCTGCAGTTTTTGCTATCTCCATACTGACTGAAGAGCTGGTCTTCCCCTCCCCCATTTCTGAAGAAGGGTCCAGACCCAAAACGTCAGCCTTCCTGCTCCTCTGATGCTGCTTGGCCTGCTCTGTTCATCCAGCTCCACATCTTGTTATCTCAAGTCTCACACTGTTTGGGCTGAAATGGTTTTCAGTGGAACTGCCCCAGAAAATGGGTAGCTAGATTGTGGGTAGAGTTCCAAAAGGACAGTTCACCATCATCTCAAAAGCAATTGGTTATGGACACGAAAGGTTGGCAAAGCACCTTACAGCCACGAGCTGTGACAGAATGAAAGATGGACACTGATGTTCCATGTTTGCCTCTCAATTTGCACTGTGTCAGTGCTGCATTAATTTTAAAATGAGCAGGCACCAGAAAGTTTGTGTGTTGGTTGTATTGAAAGCAACACGGGTTAGGCTTCAAGGTGATCCCGTTTCTTTGTTTCAGGGATCATCCAGTTTTGAGCTTTGATGCAGAGTTTGTGTTCTGAAGGTGTCTGCATGGTGCAATCCAGTTTCAGCTTTCAAAAAAATGGATATTTTCTTCTGCAAATGTTACGTGTAAATCTTACCATGTATTTGCCGAATTTTCTGCTTTTCTTTCTTATGTTATCTTTGATATGTTGTCTTTGAAGCTTACCTGTTCTTTTTATGCAATTGCCCATTGGTGTAGCTGCAACTAAAATAACAGAGTAGCTATACATACACAGAGTGCAGAAAAAGCAAACTACTGCATGCTTGCTTGTTATTTGCTACATTAATTCATCTGATTGGGTGGGGCATTAGTACAAAAATGACCTAGCTCCTTACCGATGTTTTCACAGGGACCAATGCCGATAATGCGTAACACAAATGAGAAAATGGTGAACAAAAACGACTTGCCGAATCGAAAAATAAACCGGGTAGCTGCGATCGGCTGTCTCGCTGCTCGTTGAATTAAAGTGAGCCACCACATCACCAAACGCTTCAGTCTAAAGAAACTTGCTAGGTTTTGACCAGAGGGAGTGCTTGTTCCAACCTTAAATAAAACACAGTCGCTTTTGTTCGCAGAAATGTTTCTCATCTCTCGCTTGCAGTGTAGCAAAACAGCTAACTTTCTGTTTCTGCTTGCCAAGTTTCGGTTTGGCGCAAGTTTAAGTTTCACTTTACTGCAATGTACCCTTGATCGAAACAATGTGAATGTGCGGAAACTAGTGGTTTGACGGGACATGACCATATGCGCCCTTTTGGACGGATTTCTTTGTTGTTGCTTCTCCTGTATGTCTTTTAGAGCAGACTGCTGTTGAGACTTTTGCAATATTTACATCCAGTAGCAGATGATAGTGGAGAAGAAAACTTTAATCCTGTGAATGCAAACGCTACCCTAAATTTCAGCGATAGTAGGAACCGCAGATGCTGGAGAATTTAGGATAACAAAGATGTGGAGCTGGATGAACACAGCAGGCCAAGCAGCATCAGAGGAGCAGGAAAGCTGATGTTTTGGGTTTGGACCCTTCTTCAGAAAAATAGAAAAAAACAGAAGAAGGGTCTGGGCCCGAAACGTCAGCCTTCCTGCTCCTCTGATGCTGCTTGGCCTGCTGTGTTCATCCAGCTCTACACCTTGTTATCCTAAATTTCAGCTCCTGATTTAATTCCCGTTTAAATTGCCTCCAGATCCAATTCCACACACCCCCTCCCTACCCCCCAACACACACACAAATGTCACGAGTACGAGGATGCTATACTCGCGCACGGATATCTGAGAGAACTTTAATGAGGTGGGAAAGAGAAGAGATCATCAGAATCAGTAAGCAGGGAAATGTACACGTTTGTCAGTCCCATATCTACACCAGATGAGCAGAGAAAGTGGAGAGGAAATTTGCGGCCAGCAGCAGTCAGCTTTCCCAATTTTTTTTTCAGATTTCAGCTGCTTTCCGGGGTGGGGGGTTAATGGGCCAAGATCCAGCCTAAGATATCTCTAAACACCACAGATACAAGATTTCAAGTTTAAGGTGATGAATCCGCACCTTCAAACTGCAATTTCATCATTTCTGTGAAAGTTACTTGAGCTCATTTTAATGAGGACTGAAATAACTATAATTGAATGAAAGGAAGTTTGATGGAAGGTAAAAACATGGATTAAAATGAAATAAATGTCTCATATTAATACTCTGATCTCAACTCATAAAATCTCCAAAATTCATACTCATGATATGCCAGTCAACCTGAAGATATTTGAATGAACAACAGAGTCAAAGAGTTATACAGCACAGAAACAGATCCTTTGGTCCAAATTGGCAATGCCAATCAGATATCCTAAACCAATCTAGCCCAATTTGCCAGCATTTGGCCTATATCCATCTAAATCCTTCCTATTCATATACCCATTCGGATGCCTTTTAAATGTTGTAATTGTACCCTCCTCTACCACTTCCTCTGGCAGCTTGTTCCATAGGCGCACCACCCTCTGCTTGAAAAAGTTGCCTTTTAGGTCCCTTTTAAATCTTTCCCCTCTCACTTTAAACCTACACCCTCTAGTTTTAGACTCTGGAAAAAAAGACCTTGGCTTTTCACCCTATCCATGCCCCTCATGATTTTATAAACATCTGTGAGTTCTCCTGTTAGTCTCCAACGTTCCATGGAAGAAAGCCCTAGGCTATTCAGCCTCTCCCTGTAGCTCAAACCTTCCAATCCTGGCAACATCCTAGTAAGTCTTTTCTGAACCCTTTCAAGTTTTACAACATCTTTCCTTTAGCAGGGAGACCAGATTTGAATGCAGTATTCTAAGAGTGGCCTCACCAATATCCTGTACAACTCCTATGCTAAATGCACTAACCAATTAAGGGCAGTGTGCCAAATGCGTTCTTCACCACCCTGACTACCTATGACTCCAATTTCAAGGAGCTGTGCATCTGCACCCCTCTGTCTCTTTGTTCGGCAATACCCCCAAGCCCCTACCGTTAACTGCCCTGGTTTGCCTTACCAAAATGGTACACCTTACATTTACCTATATTAAACTCCATCTGCCACTCCTTGGTCCATTGGCCCATCTGATCAAGGTCCCTTTGTAGTCTGGGATAACCTTCTTCACTGTTGACTATACCACTAATTTTGGTGTCATCCGCATACTTATTAACCATACCTCCTGTATTCACATCAAAATCATGACAAAAAGTACTGGACCCAGCACCAATCCTTGTGGCACACTGCTGGTCATAGGCCTCCAGTCTGAAAAAACCAACCCTCTACCACCAACCTCTGTCTCCTACCTTCAAGCCAACTTTATTTTTAATTGTCTAGCTCGCCCTGGATTCTATGTGATCTAACCTTGTCAACCAGCCTACCTTGCAGAACCTTGATGAACACCTTGCTGAAGTCCGTATAGACAACTTCCACCACTCTTCATCAATCTTCTTTGTCACCTCTTCAAAAAATTAAGTCAAGTTAGTGAGACACGATTTCCCATGCACAAAGCCTTATTGACTATCCCTAAAGAGTACTTGCCTTTCCAAATGCATGTAAATCCTGTCCCTCTTATTCTAGACCTTTGTAGTAGACAGCCAAAATGAAAGGATTATAGTGGATGAGAAAAACAGAGGAAGAAAGAAATTAATTGTTTGAGATTTAAGAGGTTGCTGATTCTAAAATATCCTAGTATATGGCAGTCAATTGCCCTTGTTCTCAAAGGCAGGATAAACAAAATAAATAATCCACTCCCAGCATGGTGTCAAATTTAGATCTTTCTGTATCTTTTAGGGACATAGTGGGGCTTCCTGTCTGATATCTTGATCTGCATCATGATTAATTGCAATTACATATGTAAATTTTATTCTGTAGAAGATATGTGGGACTGTCCTAGCTAGTTATACACATTTGTGTTCCTACACCATTGTTTTTCCTGAAATTTTTGAAATAAAGAAGTCAAATAAGTGAAGAATGATTTGAATTGATTGACATAGCTTTTTCTGTGCTTTGTGGGTGCATGAAGCTACTTATTCATAGAGGACTACAGTGACCAACTGTTAAATACATTAAAAATTTGTATCCACCAGAACCCCAATGCATTTTCTTTGGTCTTGGCTATTCAATCATGAAAGCAACAGATTTCTTTAGTAAGAGAGAGCTTGGTGCTATAAATAAGTGAAGTTGCAACAAAGGTCTTCCAAGTAAAGGAGCTTCAAAGACAAAGGCTGTAATGCAAGCCAAAATTGAGGTCATAAGTTTTACATTGTGGGTCCATTGAGGGAAGAAGAATGGAAATGTCAGGTAATCTCAACCACACTGTTTCCCATCCGGATTCATACTTTTCAGCTTTCCCATGGAGGAGCAACAGAAAGAGAGACATACAGATGGTATATCTGCTTCTATTAAATCTCCTTTTAGCCTATTCTAATGTCGGGAAAACTGCTTCAACATTTCAGTATTCTGGATAGCTATAATTCCATAGCCTCTGTAATCATTATAGGAAATCTCTTCGGTTTTCACTCCAAAGCCTTCACTTCCTTCCTAAAGTGTGGGATCCAGAATGGAGCACAACTTGGGCTAAAATAGTAATTTATAAAGGATTCGCACAACTTCTTAGCTTTGTATTCTGGGCCTCTATTTATAAAGCCCAAATCCCATTTATTTCATTGACTGCTTTGTTAAACTATCTTGCCACCTTTAAAAGTTTGTGCACATAAACTGTATGTCTGCCTTTTCTTGCACCCTCTTTAACATTGTACCATTTAGTATATATTGTCTCACCTCATTCTTCTGACCAAAACATATATACAACCTCATACTTCTGAGCTCAATTTCAGTTGCCATGTATTGCCCATTCAACCAGTCTATGTATCTTTTAATAACAATTATCCTCACTGTTTTCTTTTACATTTGGTAATGTTATAATGTCCTACAAGTCCAAGTCATTATTGCATATCAAAAAAATTGTGGGCCTGCTGCTAAACCTTGTGGAACTCTCCCTTTATATCTGTTCCATCTGAAAGATAACCATGTACCCACAAGCCCCTAGCCAATTTTGTACTCATGCTGCTACATTCTCCTTTATCCTTAGGCTTCACTTTTGCTTTCAAGTCCAACATCTAACACTCTATCAACTGTCATTTGAAAGTTTTAGATATGAATAATTTTTCTACATTATCACTTTTATTCATCAGCACTTGTCATAACTTCATTGAAACATATAAATTTATACATTTATGATTGTTGTACCATCTTTTTTATAAAGGTGCATTCCATATCCTAACAAGTAACTGTGTGAAAAAGTTTCTTTCTCACATCACTCTTGTTTATTTTGCCCTTTCATGCCTGTTCCTTTTCTGAGGGGGAATAGTTTTTTCATATCTACACTATACAACCCATTCATGATTTTGAAAACCTCTATCTCCTCTCAGCTTTCTTCTTTCCAAGGAGAACAGTCCAAACTTAATCAATCTATTATTTCTACTTACATTTCTGCTATGATATCACAACTTTTCAACTCCTGGTCTCCTTATTGCTGAAAAAAAAATGAAGAAGAAGAAAACAGTTTTTCCTTCTCCTTCTCACCAAATTCTATTCTCAGCCGACTTGCAAGGATCTCACTCCATACCAAAGCACTCTATGTCAGAGTACTTAACCTCTCTACATGAAGAGCAACCTGGCAGAAGAATGCAAGTTCTGTGTGTAGCTGGGTTCCAAATTGAAGATCTGTAGGATTAAAGTAGTGTAAGAGGTGGTCTGAAAAAGTCATGATGATGTGGTGAGGTAGTTTGGCAATGCCCACTTACATGAATGAAAGGTGGAAAATGACAGTATGCATGGGCATGAAGGTGCACTTTTGAATATAGAGTGGTTTGACGGCCTGGAGAAGTAAACAGCAAATTAACCATTCTGACGTTTAGGTCAGGAATTGCCACAATCTAGTTTTTTGAGCAAAGAGAGGAGATCGGGAGCTGCATGGAAATGGGGTGAATTTAGTTAATCCTGAGATGTAAATGCATGGAAATAATGTAGTCTTTGCTCACTAGCATGCTTCAAAACCTCACGAGAAAATCTGCAATTTTTCCTCAATTTTAAGAAGCTAATTTGTTCCATTTTGCTGTAGTTTTCTAACTTTCTTGTCATTGTCCACTTGGTTTGAGGGAGTTCCAAATCAATTTACATGACAT